TTAACAGGAAGATAGATAAAAGTGATCCATAAATATAGTTTCTTTTTATTAATGAAAGGAAGTAAGTACCTCAATGGAGCAATGTTTAACACTTTGAAGCTTTCTAGTTTATATAGAACTAGTATTAATACCCATGTCCCATGTTCAACATGGGTGTTGAGTTAATGAATATATGTGTAAAGTTATTTATGTCTAATACCAAACCTAACTCCGAGCAAAAATAATATAAAAACAACATCACGAAGCATAGATTTTCGCCATGTCAGCATTCGAAGCGTGAGAATCTGCCACCTAGGCTCAACACGTTTTGAATTAATATACAGATAGGGATTCTGGTTTACAACTGAATAAATAGACAAGCATGTCCTCTATACTCTTACAGAAACTGGAATTCTCTAAAACCTCAAAGCTACACAGACTAATATCTTACACCACAAACTCACCAAGCTGCATATGAATCCACATTACATTAAACCCCATAGAATTATGGTTTAAAACTGAATAAATAAAATGTAACCCCAACTCGTAAGATTACACTAATTTGAACCAGAAAACCTAACAGCCCAGCTTCCACATTTTCAAGCACAACCTATTTAAGAAAAACAATGAATAAATAACACTAAGGTAATCCAACTCTTCAGTCTTCACAACACTCAAACAATTTTCACACCATGATCATAAATAAAACCAGATCAAAGGCAAAGACTCTAACTTTTTAGTCACCATTATCCACAAACTCCATCCTCTTCAGCTGGAGACAAACCAAAATCACATCTCAAGCTCACACACACACACACACACACACAAACACACAGAAACACACACACAGAGAGACATATAGAGAGTGGGGACAAACAAACCATGAAAAGTAGGGTTGTTGAAGGCACGATCCTCGGGCAAAGGTGTAAGCTTTTCGATTCTACTGTCCGAAGACAGATCAGACAAATGGGAATGAGCCCTTCTCCTCAAAACCTTTCTCCTCCTACTGTTCTTCTTCTTCTTCCTCGACCCGCCGGATTTTCCCCCAACGCAGTTCTCCGGGCGTGAAACGCACGCCCCCATCTCAAACCACAGAGATGAGAGAGAGAGAGAGGTAAAAGGGAAAAAACAAGAAGAACAGAAAAAAAATTAGGAGAAAAACAGACAAATATAGGCAAAATTTGGGGTGAGAACAAAAGGGTCAAACAAATTTTGCACGCGCCCAAAAGGGTTGATCGCAAATCGTCCTCTCGTGCGATATCAACCACAGCAAGGAGTCTAGAGAGAGAAAGCAATACCGTTCTAGAGAGAGGAAACGTGAAGAG